AGTAAGAAATAGAAGGGAGATGCAACTGACGCGGTTCGCCCTACCATATGATTATACATGCTTTGCAGACGGGTACTCCATTTGTGTATTAAATATTCAGAATAGGTTATTGTATACGCAGTAAATGTAAATCTGACAAATATTTCTTATTCATATTAAGTACCGTCTGCAAAGCATGTATAATCCTATGGTAGGGCGAACCGCGTCAGTTATATCTCCCTTCCATTCCTTACTCCCTAGTCCCTGGTCCTAGTATACGATTTTTGGACCCTCCCTCCCCCTTTCTTGTAATTTTGTACATTTATTGTTTATTATTTTAGTGTTTGGTTAAGATTAATGCTGGGCCGAGCGCTGCGGCTAGGATAGGCTACGGGGCCGAGCGCTGCGGCTAGGATAGGCTACGGGGCCGAGCGCGGCGGCTAGGATATGCTATGGGGCCGAGCGCTGCGGCCACATAATCAATTATACAAAATGTACTAAATTGATAGGATGGGAGAGGGGTCAAAAAATCGTTCTCTAGGAAATTACCCTTTTTATCATCGATTTCGGATAATTCCCTTTTTTGAACCATAAAGTTGAGTCCTGTAGGTAAGAGTGTACACGCTCAATATTATTGTTCGATTCGTAAAACATTTTCTAGCCGTGATTTAGCCACGGCTTCCTCGCCCAGGTAGCCTAAATCATAGCTAGAGAATGAATAACCTACGTGTCAACCGGTCCGGTGTACATAGGTGACAGGTTTGTGTTATGTAGGGTTTTGTGGGTTCAAAAAGTGTTAGAATAAAATTAATATTATTAATAAGTAATTTCAGATATAGAACAGAAAGTGGGGGAATGATTATTTAGGAAAATATACACCCCTGATATATGCCCTACTAAAGTGCTGTGTACAAAAATGATGGGGGGCGGGGGTTACAAAAATCCTACACTAGGAAATTAGCGTTTCATGTGCCCTGTGTAATGTGCAGTTCACTAAAAGGGTCTTCTTCCCTTACATGGAGGCACAATACTTTTTATGGCTAGGGTTGTGTATGGGTGGTATTATCTTTGATACTGCACTCGATTTCTGAAAATAAGGAATTTTATGTCATTGATATGACATGATAATCTATATAATTAAGTTTTACTTGAAATTACGTCTTATGTATTCGTACTTTGTAGGCAATTCAAATCGCTTAAAATTAGGCGATAAGCAGAAGCAAAATATAAAATATAAACAAGTTTTTTTTTAGAAAATTGGATTGTTCACAGATATTGAACTTGTGTGCGTGGATGGACGAGTAAAGGCGCACAGGTACTAATCCCTCTCTCGTTAATCGTATTTCATATATTTTAACTTCATGCGTGAATAGCTAATTTACCTTAATTGTAAGGGTGACTTTACGATGATACAGAGCGTCCTGTATTATGTTAGATTATCTCCAAGCTTTACAGCTAAAATACGCTCTGAAAAAAACTAATAAAAAAACACGTTATTTTACTTCAGATTTTATTATATTAATCTGAAACATTTTTGTGAAATGATTTATTCTTCATAAATTTTCCTGATTAGTCCTTTAAATCTCAATTTAGAGCTATAAACGATCTAATATGATATGGGACACCCTGTATATTCTTCAAAGCTCTGGAAGAAAAACATTTTTAAAGATTTTCTTATTTTCTTTCGAAATTAAAATAACTTAACATTTTCAGAAAACAAGATTTTTTACTGAAAATATTTTTTTGGTCTGTTATTTTCAGTTAAAGTTTATCAACAGGTTGATTTCAATTAAATAAACTATCAGATTAAGTTATTGTTTGATTAATATATTGAATAAAATACTTACAAAGGAAATACATTAAGTGATTTGTTACTTTGTTAAAAGACTGGTTGATTGAATGTGTAATTTGATTGATTAGCTGATTGGTTCACTTGTTGATGAATCAACTTGACTGACAAGTAGATTAATGAACTGATTGATTGAATTGTATTGAGCAACCAATTGTTTGACTAATTAATTGATTTGAATTGATCAACCCATAGATAACATTTTTTATTGTTTAATTGATTGTTCAGAGCTCTTCTCAGTTTACCTTTTCCTTGGCTTCTAGGAATAGATTCAAGTCTAATAATTCTTCCCCAGGTACATTTTACATTTTCTTAATATGTTGTTTATAGTTAGTCGAGATTTAAAATAACTGTTTATAGAGATTTTCACTGTAATTCTACGGGACTCTTAACCCTTTTGATTCACAGTACACTTTAAACTTATAAACTTAAAAGATTCGGATAGTTTTTTTTCTTGTAGAGAAGAGAAATTCTTGCCACTTTCTAGTAAATCTTTGCTGTAAACAGGCTAGAGCTGCACCCTAGAAAAAGTGCAAATAATCCGATTCCTGGCTGTAAAACACAAATATCACTATCATTAACATTAAGATTTTGATATGTCCCCTCTTCCTTGTGTACGTCATTTTTCTTCTAGACTTTTGAATTTTGAGCTCTGATACGCGGGGTCAGTAGGTTTAATCGTCAATTGAAGACAATTGGGAGTGTAGGGCCCAAATATTGTATTCACAGGAAAGAGAAATTGCAGAAACAATTAAATAAATATCTGAAATCTATGAATTTCTAGTCTTCCATCGTATTCCTGATGTGGTTCGGACTAGAGATTGATGAGGGTGGCCTTTCTCCCCTCGTGTACCTCTTTCTGCAAATGCTTTTGAAGCATCCACTGTACTTTATCCACCCGTAACTTTGCTTTTCTGGCATACACAGTACGCGCTGAATCCTTAAAAATACAGTCCAAATCTAAACCACTGGATCCCATATTAACCATAGGATGTGGGGGATCAACCCTGTTTTTATTGTAGTATAACCTACAGGTCGTGTTACTTTGTCTGTAGGTTGATTGTTGAAAATAATAAAAATAAAAATTAATAAAATATGCCTAAGTTATAGATTTGTGAGTAATTGGGTACCTTTTTCATAACCTCATTTAACTTCATTTAAGCTTGTTATTAATGTAATATTTTTAAGATCGATGTAGGGTCGGTAAAGAAGGGAATAGAGCTTCTTTATTTAACTTTGGACCTAAAATATTTAAGGTAAAACGGTTAATTTTTTTATTGTTTATGAAAATATTATCAAATCAGTCAAATTATTCGTCATGGATGTTCTATGAATTAAGTCCAGATAAGAAACAAATTCTAGTGTTTTTATTATTACCTTTTTTAAAATATTACAAGACAAACATATGTTTGATTCTAAATTCGATCTACTCTTGAATGTGAACTGTATAGGGGCCGACTTCATTGAATTGAACTACCTACCGACGGTTTAAATCCTGAAACACCGATTCAAATCCTTATGAATCTGTTTTTAACATTTTAAAATAAAATTTTTTTCACAAAATTTTAAAAAGAGCAGTGAATTTTTTTCTATGCTTATGAATCTTTAAATTTAAATCAGTGATTCAAGATTGGAACCCGGGGTATTTAGTTAAGCGACCTAGCTCAAATTAATTTAATTTGGTCACAGAGCACATACAGTAATAAGCTAAGCCTTACTGGATTTACTCTTACTACATGTATCTATTAATTAAAGGGACTTAAGCCTTAATTTTATACTATTATATTATTATATATTATATATTATATATTATATATTATATATTATATATTAATACTAACTTATAGAAGTATAAGTAAGTATTAATTAAAGGCCACTGAAGCCTTAATTTTAAAGTGACTCTTCTTTTATTGTCATGTTTCACAACTATACCCTTTAAAAGCTTTGTCTGATCAAGATGAAATAAGAAATTCAAGCTCAACTCCTCTTCATATTATTCAATAGGAAAAGGACGATATGTCCCACATTATTCAACAGAAAAAGGACGATACATCCCACATTATTCAACAGAAAAAGGACGATGTATCCCACATTATTCATCAGAAAAAGGACGATATATCCCACATTATTCAACAGGAAAAGGACGATATATCCCACATTATTCAACAGAAAAAGGACGATATATCCCACATTATTCAACAGAAAAAGGACGATATATCCCACATTATTCAACAGAAAAAGGACGATACATCCCACATTATTCAACAGAAAAAGGGTTTATGGGTACTGTTGTGAATCGGGCATATCCCACATTAAATAGAAGTCACTTGTAATTTTGTTTTCCATCGAAAGTCCCTTGAACACTAAAATTTCAGAGAGCTGGTAAACTGTAATTTTAAGCATACAGAAGACGACGCTTTTACCTCGGTTGAAGATTTAGAAGATATATTTTCTAATATAGACGATTCTTTGGAAGAAGTAACGCTGAAAAATGCCAAGATAAAAGTTCCCTGTGATTTCTGCAAAAAACTGTTCTCAGCGCTAAAAATAAAGAAGCATATGATGAAATGTGAACAGGTTCATATTGAATATATTGCTGTACTTCCAGAACTCCAGTGTAAACACTGTAATGCTGTTCTAGGAGAACCATCTGCTTTAGGCAGGGATAAATACTTGATTTAGGTTTTTAAAATGAGCAGAGGGGTATTTATTTTAATGAACAATCATTTCGTTTCCTATCCCAATATAAAAAACATAATTTTATCTCTTGCCTTGTTAGAAAGCATTGAATTGCACACAAACATTTTTATGTTTTTATCGCCGAATCTCAGCATGTGTAAAAAAAAATATTTTACTGGGAATCTAAATAATATTTTGTAGCCTAAAAGTTACATAGCTTGTTATTTGAAGTATTATTCCCCCTTCAAAGTTTCGGATCTTTACAAAATGGATGAAGTGTTTGAAATTTATTAGAGGTTTCTATGTTTATTTTCAAATAATTTGCTACCTAACGGGAGTTTTAGAGCAATCTGGCGGATAAATTAATGCTAACTTGTCACAAATATTTTTGACAATAATATAATAAACTTTAAACAACCAGTTTTCTAAAAAACAACGTTCTGAAAACGTTTAAGACTCTTAATAGTGCTTCAGTATTTAATTCCTGGAGAAGATGGGGTTTGTAAGTTCTGCTCTGGAAGTATAGAAGATACAGGGGGTATTTTCCCTCCAGGTAGGAATATTACATGGGGGTGGGGCTGTAAGAACTTTTTTATATACAAAGTCAAATATTTAAAAAACGAAATAAATGTTTGGGTAAAAACACCATTTTTAATTTAAGTTTCTATTCAAGTCAAGGCTTTACTTCCTTAACTATCTGATGAATATGTTATGAATTTCTATTGTAAAACCAGTGCTTAAGATCCATTTAATTTTGATGCGGGTCCGGGTCCGTATCCTGGATCCGCACTGGAAAAAATGTATCCGGATCCAGGTCATTTCTTTAATATTTACTGAATTCAAAAAAAGCAAAATTTTCAATTTTTTGTCTATTTTTTTCGCTAATTTTTATGCTAAAACTTGATTAACCATTCAGAAATCAGGAAATTTTTATAATCTCTCTTTTTCAATCTAGTTCACATTTGGGGTTTGAGAGTAATTTTTTTTCTCCAGTTTTTGGGTTCATATTTTGTCCATTAGATCCGGATCCAGGAAGCAAAATCTTGAGGATCGGAATCCTAAGCACTGTGTAAAACTATATATTCATAAAATCTAAACAAGTTTAACTTCACCATTTATATATATTTGCATGCGAATAAACCTTTATAATATAATATAATTTAAGTAGTGTGTTTAGATAAGGAAGATGAAAGTATTTCCTGTCCTATTTGTGGAAAAGTATTTTCAAGAAAAGAAAATTTGACTCTTCATGTTGAAGAATGCAAAGCAAAGGTATGATACAGACAATACATAATCTCACCATTAAAAAAAATAATGTATCTTTAAGGGACTGTAAGTGCATTTTCTAGTGAGATGTGGAGATTCATAACGTACCTTTAAAAGCTTCGCCTGATCAAGTTTTAATTAGATAGCAATGTTAATTATTTTGAAAACAGACTATTCAAATAATAGGGCAAGTGGTATTGACAGGATCTTTTCTTTATGGTCGGTTAAAAAAAACTGACAGGAAATTCCGTCAGATCCTGAACTAGAGTTTGCTTTCAGGTTTTTGATTTTGTTCTTCGTCAAAAAATATGTCTTCAGAGTATGGATCATTAAAAGAGGGACAATCAGATACGGTTGTGAGGTTCTCATTAGTAAAAACTTTTCAATGTCTGATGTAACATGTTTGTGACCGGTGTTGCCCGTGGAATTAAAAAAATCTAATTTTTAAAATTTTGCCTATATTAGGGGGTTCCCATTGGTTCCCTCCAAAAAAAAGTCAGTCAATTTGGTTCAGCTGTTTGGCCAGCTATAGCTAACATATATATAAATATATATATATATGAGCGAAGAGCTTCATTATATAAACTAGCTTAAGTGCCCAGCGTTGCCCGTGAGTTTTTTTTTAAATTAAAAAAAAAGGTTTTTTTTATGTTACTTCCCGGCCACCTATGGGTTACCTCAACAAATTTCAGCCCTTTCGGTCCAGCCGTTTGGCCAGCTATAGCTAATATATATAGAAATATATATGAGCAAAGAGCTTTATTATATAGATAAATATAAATCTGAATTTACAATTTGAGCTTAACATTTTTGTTCAGGAAAATTTTTGTAAAGTGTGTGGACTCGTGTTTAAATCAAAGAAGTATTTGAAAGAGCACATGTTTATTCATTCAGACAAGCATAACACTTTCAGGCAGGTGTTTTATAGCTTAATTCAGGCAAAACTTTATCTTATTTTACAATCGTTTATTCGTTTTTTTGAACACATTTATATATTAAGGCAGGCTTATTTAACTTTTTAGACAATATTCTTAATCAAACGTTGTCACACATCCATCCAATATTTTTTACAAAGTAAGTAAAAAAAGAATGAGTTCTGTTTAAACTTAAATTTTTTTATTTGGCATGAATTTATAAATTATCTGTGCCTCAGGTGTACAGAGTGCAATAAACTGTTCGCAACAAGTAGAACTTTAAAAGATCATCTAAAAATTCACAAAGGTAAAATCCTCTCAGGTGTACAGAGTGCAATAAACTGTTTGCAACAAGTTTTTAACTTTATCAATTTATTTATTTATAATTTTTTTATGAAACAAATTAATTGATACATGTATTTAATGCAGAATGCAGATACTCATTTTTCCAATCTTCTTGTTTCCTGGCTGTCCTGTTTTGCTCATTCANATCCTCTCAGGTGTTCAGAGTGCAATAAACTATTTGCAACAAGTAGAACTTTAAAAGATCATCTAAAAATTCACAAAGGTAAGATCCTCTCCAACTTCTGTGTAAGAAATAAAATAAAAACTGAAAGGTTTAGAAAAATAATTTTTTGATGGGAATCAATTACTTTTTAGGGGAAAAGACGTAATTTCATGCGAGTTTCCATTTAAAGATTAGTGTGTCTGATTCACAAAGGTATTCATAGCAGCTTGTTCTGATCAAGAATGCATGGGATTTTTTAATCCAGGGTTTTCTACAAAGTGACTTGCGGATTTCTGCTGCAGAAACAATGGAGGAAATTTGTAAAAATATATATCTTCCATCTTTTTTGATCAGTTTTAAAGGGCATCCCCCCCCTTTAATTTCTATTTCATACTTACCATTTATCATATTTTAGATTTGCCCAAGGTGCAATGTCCTCTCTGTGACAAACTTTTGTCGACTGTAAATATCTTGCAGAAACACATTGACACCGTACACAATCAAATCAGGTAAGATAATAAGATTCAATCAATCAAACATAAATATGACAAAGATGTTTAGTAAACTTTGTAAAGATTGTTATTAAATGTTAGGCCTTTTTTGATTTATCATTTTGATTTTGGGTTAAAATAACTGCAGGTATGTTAATTTGATGTACAAAAATAGGTTTAAAATAAAAAATATTAAAAATTCCTAACATGTACATTTGTTGTTGAGCATGTTTATCCTGTGGCAGTCTAGATTTTCCAAGATTATGGGCTTAAAGATCTTTACTTGTATATATTGTATCTACTAATTAAGAAATACTTCAGCAAGAAAGACGGATAGAAGTCAATAATTTTGTTAACAAAAATAATATAGTTAAAAGCGTTAGATATTATTTACCTTTTTCTTTAAAAAAATAATTACTTCAACTGAATCCTAATTTATTTGATTCAGGAAGTATGAATGTGAACACTGTAACTATAAAGGAAGTACAACAGGAAACCTTCAACAGCATATTGATAGTTCCCATCTAGGTAGAGATCATTCTCTTCATTTTCCTGCGTCAAATTCACAAAGCAAGAGTTTAATTTGGGAGGCAGGGGTGTATATTTTATCTTAAAATAAATAATTGATTGCGAGGGAAAAATGAACGAATTTTTGGGTTAAAAGTATCAAAAAGGATAAAAAACTTGCTTGATGTACCATTTTTTCTCCTAATAAAAAAATCTATCCCTCATCCTCCAGGGGGGAGATAATTCTGAAAAAATATACCCCTGTATCAAGAACATAAATTTTATCAAATTGAAGATTTAAGAGCATGACAATTTCCAATGGTTTATTTAAACCAATTTTCAGGTTATTCTATCGTAGATTTGTTTAGGTATAAAACATGAATGTGATATATGCAGTGAATTCTTTGCTAGTAAAGCAAGTTTATACACACACAAGAAGTCTCACTCTGAGGTATAATTAACAAAACGTCAAACATTAATTTTTAATTCAAATTTTAATTGTCTTGGAGTTTTACAAAAATAAAACATTTTTTACAGTTATTTTCTTTATTTACTAATAAATTGTGATTTTCTACGGTATCCTTCAAACCTTGGTCAGAGAAAAAATGATTGCTTTGTTTTTGTTTTTCTAGCAGAAAATAGATCATTTTCAATTGCATTTTCTGTAACAGACAGAACAGATACAGAAATACGACGATATCTTCCGCATCGTTAATCTGATTATGTGCTAAAGGATATTTTCAGAAGGCATTTAACGCGTTCAATTGAGGGTCACTTTATGCGTGACAAACCTAATTATGTCTTAAAATTATACATTTTCATCAAATCTGAAAATTCATTAAAAATATTATTTGTAGGAGCGTAAGTTTGTTTGTGTTGAGTGCGGAACAAGGTTTAAAAGTAAACGGAATCTTCAGGAAAACATCTTCACAATTGTATTCTCATATTTCACCAAAAACATATTTTTTTAGCGACTTCATAACAGTTAAAGATATATAGAGTTTTATTAACAGAAAACAATGGTAGCCTTTTTAACGTACAGTTTATAGCCGTGGATTTCTACATTTGGTCGACTTACGATATATGCTAGAAGAGGGGGTGAAATTTGAAATATTGAGGTATTTTGGTCTTATTATGTCAGAACCATGATAGGGCCAGGTGGGAGGGGGAAAAGTAGTGTCCAATTTAGAATTTTCTCTGGAAAAGAAATCAACCATAGACTATAGACTTTTTACCTTTTATATGTTTGTGAATCGATTTTTTTTTCTTTGATTTGAAACATCTAAATTTTTAAAGGCAAATGTTTTCAATTAAAACCATCCATATACCACACCTGGGATCTCGTAAGGTACAAACAAAAATTTTGGCCCGATCGGTTCAGCCGTTTTGACGTTTATCGGTTACAAATAAACAAACAAGACGAGCATAGTATATATATATATATATATACATAGATTAAATGTTGCCGGACAAAGTGTTACTAAGAAAGACGTTGACCCTTTCTTTAATAATTTTATAAATAAGCATGTTTGACATAAAAATCATATTTTTAATCTTTTAATTAAAAATGTTTCATTGTTTAATTTTGCCAATAATTTGTATGTAAGTGAAGACTGAAGATTTTATAGGTTCACATTAGAAGCAAACATAGTACTGTAACAATACAGGTATATGATTGTTTTAATAGGTTGGGGGTAGTTTTTACCTCAAAATAATAATTCTTAAGAACACTACATGGTTGGGTAGTTGTTGGGTTTGTTTCTTGTTAGTCTGGTCGGAACTGACTTTTTGATGTGACTGTTGGTTGGTTGGTTGATTGATTAATATTTGATTTCTTTAATTAAGAATTTTGTTTACAGTGTCAGGTTTGCAGTAAAATCCTGAAGTCTCAAGATGGTCTTGATTATCATATGAAACATCATAATCTAGACTCACAGGAAACCATTTTATCTTAAACTGTTGTTCGTCTTTCCAATATTTATAACAAACATGTACAATATATATAATATAATAAACAATTCCAGGACTAAGGGATTTTTTAAAAGTTATTGGGTCAAAATTCATAAACAAAAATACAAGTTGACGAATGAATGCTGCAAATCGTCACAAAGATCCAAGACGATATTGAACCGTATTTTTCAACCGTCGTGTTTTTTGAGACATCTCCAATTAAAAAAAACTGTAAAATAAAAAATAAAAAAGAAAGCCTGATTGTTTTTTAAAAAATTGAATTTATTTTTACTATTGCTTTATTTAATCTATAAGAATAAAATTGTTTTTAGTTCCCCTGTGATTACTGTGGAAAACGGTTTGTAACACGAACTAAATTAAGCCATCACATTAACATTCACACTGGAGCCAAACCATACAAGTGTCCCAGTATAGGTGAGTGTAAGGGGGTTAGAGATTATTTCTTTTCTTATTTTTTCGTCCCTTGTGCAAATGCATTAAATTTTTTCAAAACGTGGAATAATTATTATTAGCACTAATTAGAAAAAAATGTATTATCACCATTCACCATCCCTTATCATTTGTTCACGAGCTTCGCCGAAACTTATAACAAAGGGGGTCATACTAAATTGTTGTAATTTCAATGATATATGCATGAATTATATCTATATAATAAAACAAGACATTCATATATATGTTGCGTATAGCCGGTCAAACGGCTGTACCGATTGGGCTGACATTTTTTGTGGACACCTATGGATGGCCGGGGGGTGTAATAGGCTAAAAAAATCTGAAATTTTTCATAACAAAATTTTTTTCGAATTTTTTTTCCGCTGGCGACGCCGGGCCCTTCAGCTAGTAATGTATAATCTTAAATCAATAAAGTTTTCTTAAAATTGATTTATTTAGATTGTGAGAAGGCATTTCCATCTAGTGATCAGTTGTCCCATCATAAGAAGAACTGCCAGAAAATATGATTTTGTATTTATTTAATTATTTTATGAACAATATTTAATTGATTTATTGACCTTTGAACAATTTTTATTTGGATTTACTAGACAGTGAAAACCTTTAAATGAAATTGATTTTAATTTTCTAACCTTTCAACCAATAACATTTAAGCGATATTAAATCAGTAACATTTAAACGATGTTAATTTAATTAATGACCTTGTAACGTTATTTATTTGATCTTAATGACCTTAAACTGTTGAAATTATAAATTTGATTTTTAAGTTTTTTTGGGTTACGGACCCTTTTTTAAAAAGTAAATTTTGATTTTTTTTAATGGTGCTTTTAATTCTCGGCAATAAATATCAAATTGTTTTTGTTAAAAACGCCTGTGAGTTACCTTGCATGCGTTTAAGACGTTTTTTCATTATTTCTGTTTCAGAAATCTAAATACAGAATGAAGTGGATACCGGTTTCAGAACAGGAGCTCAGATCCTACGACGACCCTCCTCACGGGTAGAATTAGAATTAACTACTATTTTAACATTTTTTATTCTTTTAGCTTTAATATAATCATTTTTTGGCCGAGTTAAAGCGTGGAGAAAAATATTTAACTTATACGTAATATAAAGGGGTAAAACTAACTCCCTTTTAAATATTTTTACCTTAAAATCCATTTATTTCTCCAAGCTTTGCGAAGTAACCCTTAAAATATGTACATAACAATGGTGGGGGGGGGGGGGGGGTTAAAGAAAACACAAAGTCTCAGACTTTTTGTAGTATTTTATGATTAGCTTTTTTTTGAATTGGACTTTTTACTGCGCCGGCAGATATTTTTGATTTTTAAGTTAAAGGTTTAATACTCTATTGTTCCTAATGGGTGTTCAGTGGTTACTTAATAAAAAAGTTTTTATTACCTTTTACAAGTCTGTTATAATAGAAACTACTTGCACTGTTATAATAAATAATTTCAAGTCGGAAAGCAGAGGAAAATAGTAAATTTTTAATCGGAAATAAAATATTTTTATTTTTATTCTATTCGACAATCGTTTCCGATCAGAAGTCCGCTATCACTTCTCTCATTGTACGAGTTGTGTTAGTTTTCCCATCCCATGTCCCCATGTTCCCAGTAATATTTAGAGATAAGATAATTAGTTTACATTCACATGAGCATTGATAAGGCTGTACAATAATTTATTTAACTACGGTGGTAGGCGATTATATCAATATAATGAAGACTACATTTTAATTCAAGTTTCAAGTGTTAACAAGCTTTTTTTCGAATTACAGTTTACAAGTAAATAAAAAGAAGGGTTTTTATTGCCAGCTTCTCTTTGTTTCCATGTTTTTGTGGATCCATTCTTTTAGATATTAATCAAAATTGAAATCGAAAGTCGTCCTCATCCTCATTATTCTCTATCTGTATTTAAATTTGGCTTGTCTGTCTGTTTGTTTGATTGTTTGGATCCAATAAACGTCAAAACGGCTGAACCGATCGGGCCCAAAATTTTTGTGGGACATCACGTAAAAAATCCGCAAAATTTTTTTCTTCTTTGTTTTAAAATGTAAAAAAGAGCATGTTCACAATTTAAATAGAAAATGGGCGCAAGCCTAGCATTGATATATTCGCCTACCATTGAAGATTAGAACTCTAAGAGCTAACTTTAATGAATTTAATAATTTCTTGTTTTCACCATGCAAGAGGACTGCAAACACGTAGGAATTGGCATTGTTATAGCGAAGACGATATTTACGTTATTATTATTTGAAATTGTAGCATAAATTAATAAATTAATGCACCTTTGATATTCAAGTACAATTCTGTTAAAAGTTTAACTGTACCAATGTACAGTGCAGTACTAATAAGTGAACTTTTAGGTATATTTTTTGTCCCCTACACTGTTGCAAAACTAATTATAGAATCTATTTAATATGGAGATTATATATTTGAACTTATGTCGTTAGAACCAGGTGCGCAACTAGGGGGGGGGGGGAAGGTGGGAAAGGTCCCCCTAGCCTGATTTGAAATTTGTTCATATTATCATTTTTTGGTTTATATATACGTTTTTGTCTAATTCAACAATGTTTTATAGCTTCAGTTGATATTTTTTGGTCATAATTTTATAGTTATTATTTAACTTTCAATTGAACTACTACACATGGATTCATGTGTGTAGTTAAACAATTCTTGCCATATTCTATATGCTCTAACAGTAGTATATTTAACAGTTTATCAATCGCATCAGGTATCTAATAATATATGTCCTAGCATAGATTAAATGTCGTCGTTGTTATACCAGTGCTAATTAGTGATTGCGCAAAAGTCTAGCAGTGCGGCGGGGTAATTTAACTTAACATGTTTTAAAAAGTAGCAAAGCTAAACCTTTTTTTTGTTCGGTAAATTTTTAAAAGATTTAAATTTACTGTTCTGCGAACCGAGCAAAAGTATGGAAAGCTCTATTTTCTTTTTTTTTACAAACTTTTTTACTCTTGGTGTAATTTCGCTTGTTGTCTTTCATATTTTAATTTAGATTGTCTGACGTCACAAAAGACCTTTGGGAGTTAAGGTAAAACTTATTTATTTTTTAGCTTTTGGAAATATTTCAACTTTTTAATACTCAGACACCAGGCATTGTGAATTCTTTTAACGAAATATTTTAAGCTGCGGCATGGAAAAGTTTTCAAAATTGTATCAATAAATAAAAGTTAAGTGATTGTGTATAACTTTAGTTATACATTTAAAGTCATAAAATTAACAATAATATTATTTAAGTCCAAAAGTTCGGAGTATTGTCAGAGACCGAATAACTTATAAAAAAGGAATCAAGGTAAATAAATATACTTATAATTAAACATTGTGAAATCTCAAGTAGTTGGTTTACTTTCTGATCTGATTAATTTGCTTTGTCTTAACTTCTAGGCTGTTCCGATGTCGGAAATTTTCTGTTTAGTAAAGTTAATCTTAAACGCTTGATCTCTATATCCAATGTGGGCACTATAAAGGCTTGATCCCACAAGGGTACAATAACTAGGGATTATTAAATAGGAATTAAATTAACCCGTTGGTCAGCGCAAGATGAAGATTAATGCTTGAATCCGAAATTCACAACACACTGAGTTCAGTTTTGTTGTCGTTTTCCATAGTTTAAAATCTCACCAAAGAAAATTGCCAGTTTTTCATGTCTGGTCTTTTTAAAGTATTTACGTTTTTTGACGGAGGCTCAGTCCTGACTTCTGCGGAATGATGTTTATCTGTCCGTCTAGATTAAACGTTGAAGCGGTGACAAATTTTTTATTGACACGCACATGACCCCAGAGGAAGATTTATGACTGGTCAAAATTAAAAAGATGTTCTGTTGCCCAGTAAAATTGTTGACATTTATTATTTTTGAAAATGCACCAATTTAAACATAGTACGATGAAAAATTTCGACTTGAAAATCCACAGTTCAAATCTAAAATTGTTTAGCTATATGGAACGTAAGGTGCTCGTTAAGTCTAGTAATAAATTGTAAGATGTCTCAATTTCAATTATATATTTTTTACAGGATCTCTTTTTCTGCCTTTACGAGATAGAGAGTGGAGGTATTAATGTTTTATAGAATTAAAATTTTTAATATTGATAACCATTCTTTAGTTTTAATTAATTTAATTTTATCTTTTATTATTTTGTCTTTACCTTTTAAGTGACATTTCCTATCAAAGCGTGCTTTTAATGGAGAAACAAAACTAAAACCTAATGTGATTCAGGATTTAATTGGAAGACGGACTTCGTCCTTTTCCCACCTTTTTTGTGTGTTTTGTTTAATTATATTTATTGTTTAGACATATGTACTTTTGAAGAAAGGTTTGGCAGAAGCAGATATTCATTTGTTCAATATATTTTCCTCTTAGTGTAATATACATAATAGTTCTCCAAAGCTTTCCTTAAATAGTAACTTTTTATTCTGTTTTATCGTGAATTAAGAAAATAAATTCAAGTGGCAATACGTACACGTTAATACCCGCCAAACATAAATATATTATACTAGGCTTTTAGGGCCCATCTTATATTTTAATTTAATTTAATTTAATTTTGTGTACATCGTAAAACAAAACAAAAAAGTTCGCGGATTTTAACAAAAAATTTCGTGGATTTTCAAAATGTTCAAAAATATAATGAAAATTGAATTTTGAAGGAGACAAATATTTAAAATTTTGAATATTCATAAACCTTCCCTGTTGCCACGTGAGGTCCCACACAAAATTTGGGCATGATCGGTTCAGCCGTTTTGTCGTTTTTTGGATACAAACAAACAAACAAACAGACAAGCTAAATTTAAATAGAGACCGAATTGGCTAACCTTTTTTGAGGGAACCCATGGGTACATTGTGGGTACTATAGGCTAAAAACCGTTTTTTACGAAAAGTGTTTTTTAAATCGATTTTTTTTATTATAAATTCTGAATTTCCTTTTCAAGTGTTTTTTTTTAATTTCAAGGGCAACGCCGGGACCTAGAGCTAGTTTACTAATAATTCCGCCTAACATAAATGTTAACATGCTAAAATCCGCCAAATAAGTTCTGATTAATATCTGCCTCTGTCAGCTATGAGGGAATTATAAGTCATCTGAACGAATACAAGGCTCATCGGATTAATAAAGAAACAAGAAACAGTATTCGTGTAAGTATAATTTTTAGTGCTTAAAGCTCCCCCCCCCCTCCTCCCTCCCTTCATTCCTGTCTATTTTATAATGTTTATTTTTTCGATTTTCATATCTATTTTTGCATAATATTTTGATATAAACATTAAAATTCAATTTTGCATTTTTTAATGTTAATTAACATAATCAAACAATTTATTAAAAAGTTTATAATTTCCAGTGCGGTCTTACTTTTTCAAATTTTCTATTTTCAGGTTTTAAATTTGATTTTATACATAAGACAGGTTACTATTGCACGGGTATACTAAGGACTGCAAACATTGACAAATCGTAGTCTTATTTGGGGCTGCAAATATAAAAAGCGTAGTCTTGCTTGGGGCTTCAGTATAAAAATCGTAGTCTTGCTTGGGACTTCAAAAAAAATATCGTAGCCTTACTGCCACACACTATAAGATTCTAGCATGTTGGAATTTTTCAACATGTTTGTGTGAACCTTGGATATATCAAAGTTTTTCTATTTGATCCAGCAAAATTTAAGTTTTGAATATAAAAGATGTTCTCTGAGCACATAAAATCAGATAACATACAGATAAAAGTGGCAACTTCCTAAGGGTATTTTGCCAGTGGCAACTTCTCAAATGTGAAATTTCCCGAGTGGTAACTTCCCAAGTATGTCTTAGCCGGAGCGCTCGGTCCCCTGTCTGTTCTAGCCGCGGTGCTCGGCCACTAGCCCATCCTAGCCACAGAGCTCGGCCCAAATTGCAGCCTGCGGCGTCTCAGAGGGCCTAACCTAACCGTTGGGAAGTTGTCGTTTGGGAAATTGCACATTTGGGTAGTTGCCACTTGCGAAATTGACACTTGGAAAGTCGCTCTTGGGAAAATACCTTTGGGAAAATGCCTTTGGGAAAATGCCTTTGGGAACGTACCTAACAACTTATTTTTTTCAGAGTGAAGCAAAAAATCGACGAATTCGGCGTGCTAAACTGAAAAGTGAGGTAGGTTACCTTACAGGGTTACCCTCAAAGGATGAGACTAAACGGACGATTCAACATTCTTTAAATATGAAGATGTGAAAATTAGATCTTGTTTTTTGTCTTTACTATAGTCTTTTAATGGTTTACTAAATGCTTTTGTAAAGAAAGAAGCTTTTTTTCAAAACCAGGGGAGCATGGATGTTAAAAATAACTCAATTAATTCCGTACAGTCGTCTCTGAAGTCTCGTCCTCTGCAGACTACGCAACCAGGTTTTCTGATTTCTATCTTCTGTAAAAATCAAATAGAATTTTAACTTTTCTTCTAACTTAAATGGCCGTCTACGTATTCCTTAGTAAAAAGTTTTAGATGCCCGCCCTATTCACAATGGCACCCTTCAGTCTTTGGATCGTTTTCTTAGCTTTCTTGAAAATATATAAATTCTTAAAATTTCCTTCCTTTTCTCAGTTGCGAAAAAATCAACCAATTTTACCGAGAACTTTATAATAAAAATCAATTATCAGATTTATAAAAAACAATGATAACCCCCCCCCCCCATAATTTTTCCATATAAGGTTGTCAATCGGATGCGTAACTATAACGTCTGTTAAGTTTACGTGTATTTTTTTTCTTTAATAATTATATTTCTTTTAACCTATTTTTTTAATAAATAAACATTTTTTTGTGGTGGTAAAAATTGAATTTAATTTCAGAAAACCCCTTCCTCTCTGAAACGAGCTAAAAATCCTTTGGCCAAATCAGATTATGATATTTTTATTACAGCAGCAAACAAAGCAAGATCGGGTAAGTGTAGAGCAATTATTGTGCAGTAGATAAATTCTTCAGTTTAACAATTGATAAGACATCTAGATTCCTTACATGATTATTTTCTTAGGGTGTAGGGTAGCTTGTAGAATATATGTGGGGTTGTAACTTAGAAAATAGTCTGGGGGGGGGGATTACCACCAGTTTGTCGTGAAAATTTATAATTGGTAGGTAAATATACGTAATAATATATAATTGGTAGGTAAATGTACGTAATAATATATAATTGGTAGGTAAATGTACGTAATACTATATGATTGGTAGGTATATGTACGTAATACTATATAATTGGTAGGTAAGTGAACGTAATAATATATGATTGGTAGGTGAATGTACTAAATAATGTATGATTGGTTGGCGAATTTACGTAATAATGTATGATTGGTTGGCGAATGTACGTAATATTGTATGATTGGCTGGTGAATGTACGTAAAAATGTGTGACTGGTTAGTGAATGTATGTAATAATGTAAGATTGGTAGGTGAATGTATGTATGATTAGTAGGTAAATGTATGTATGATTGGTAGGTGAATGTATGTATGGTTGGTAGGTGAATATATGTTATAATGTATGATTGGTAGGTGAATGTACGTATTAATGTATGATTGTTAGGTGATTGTACTAAATAATGTATGATTGGTTGGTGAATGTACGTAATAATGTATGATTGGTTGGTAAGTGTATGCAATAATGTATAATTGGCAGGTGAATGTATGTAATAATGTGTGATTGGTAGGTGAATGTACGTAATAATGTGCGATTGGTAGGTAAATGTACGTAATAATGTATGATTGGTATGTGAATGTATCTAATAATGTTTGATTGGTTGGTGAATGTATGTAATAATGTGTGAGTGGTTAGTGGATGTATGTAATAATGTAAGATTGGTAGGTGAATGTATGTATGATTAGTAGGTAAATGTATGTATGATTGGTAGGTAAATGTATGTATGATTGGTAGGTGAACATATGTTATAATGTATGATTGGTAGGTGAATGTAAGTATTAATGTATGATTGTTAGGTGAATGTACGAAATAATGTATGATTGGTTGGTGAATGTACGTAATAATGTATGGTTGGTTGGTGAATGTATGTAATAATGTATGATTGGTAAGTGAAGGTATGTAATAATGTTTGATTGGTTGGTGAATGTACGTAATAATATATGATTGGTTGGTGAATGTATGTAATAATGTATGATTGGTAGGTGAATGTATGTATGATTGGTAGGTGAATGCATGTAATAATGTATGATTGGCAGGTGAATGTATGTAATAATGTATGATTGGCAGGTGAATGTATGTAATAATGTATGATTGGTAGGTGAATGTATGTATGATTGGTAGGTGAATGCATGTAATAATGTATGAAGGTGAATGTATGTAATAATGTATGATTGGCAGGTGAATGTATGTAATAATGTATGATTGGTAGGTGAATGTATGTAATAATGTATGATTGGTAGGTGAATGTATGTAATAATGTATGATTGGTAGGTGAATGTATGTAATAATGTATTATTGGTATGTGAATGTATGTATGATTGGTTGGTGAATGTATGTTATAATGTATGATTGGTTGGTGAATTTACGTAATAATGTATGACTGGTAGGTGAATGTAAGTAATAATATACCATTGGTAGGTGAATGTACGTAATAATGTATGATTGGTTGGTGAATGTACGTAATAATGTATGATTGGTTGGTGAATGTGCATAATAATGTTTGATTGGTAGGTGAATGTATGTAATAATGTGTGATTGGTAGGTGAACGTACGTAATAATGAATGATTGGTAGGTGAATATACGTAAAAATGTATGATTGTTTAGTGAATTTACGTAATAATGTATGACTGGTAGGTGAAATGGATCGTAGACCTACTATGAGAGATAATGAACAAGAAGAGATGCAAAGGAAGAATGAAGAGAATTTACGAAAAAAGAGGCGTGAAGAAGCACTAATGGAAGAGAAAGGAAAAGAACGACGGGATGAGCAAGAAAGACGACGGGATGAGCAAGAAAGACGGGATGAGCAAGAAAGACGACGGGATGAGCAAGAAAGACGACGGGATGAGCCAAAAAGACGGGATGAGCAAGAAAGACGTCGGGATGAGCAAGAAAGACGGGATGAGCATGAAAGACGACGGGATGAGCAAGATAGAAGATGGGATGAGCAGGAAAGACGGGACAAGAAAGGAAAAAGCCGTAATATGGAAGAAAAACGACAGGAAGATTATCGCCGAAAAGAAGACGAAGGACGCGAAAGAAATCGTGATTATCGATCCAAGAGTGGAGAACACAGGTATGTTTTACAAAATTTTAACTTTTTCCGTACAGATCATAAAAAAATGATTATTGAATTTATTTAATAGTCTTAAAATTTGAAATTTTTCACATTTTCGATCATATTTTCTGTAGCAAACTAAAAATCATACTGTAACTTCGGAAGGGCATCGTTGTCAGGTTCGGGTTTACAAATTCAAGGATTTTTACTTTAGATCTTAAAGAATCTGAAATGTATTGTTTAACACACAACAAAATCCGATTTTCTAAAAGTTTGCTTTTTATTACTTAGGCATTTTTTTTTCTCACGCCCAGGATATGAACCAAAACGATTTTATTAATCGTTCCGGAAATTTTTTTTTGTTGTCTCTGGTCAGAGTACACAATTTTGCATAGAGTAATAAAATATCAAACTTTTGAAATAGATAAAACTCATCAGATTCTTGAAGAGCCTCTAAAAATCCAATACCTTAAATGTTTGAAAACGGACCTCAAAACCTCAATACATCAAAAACCTCAAAACCTCAAAAATCTCAAACCCTCAAAATCTCAAAATCTCAAAACCTCAAAAACCTCTAAACCTCAAAATCTCAAAACCTCAAAACGATGCATATCAGTAATTATAAGTGATGTCTTACGTATTAAGTAATTTGTATTGGTAAAAAACAGGTGTAATTTTTTCCCACGCAAAAAAAAACTCTGTATGGCAAAAACATGTTGTTTTGTTTTTTAGGTTTCCGGAGTTGCGCTCCCGGGATAAACCATATGGTCATGGGATAAATAGATATAGCTCTAGGACTGCCTGGAGCCCACCTAAGCAGGAAAAAAAGATTTTTAAAATCAAGAAAACAATTTAAAATGATGCAGATATTTGGGTCGTGCCTTAAAATAATCAGTATTGGGGGGAAGTAATTTTTGTTGAGATTTCATGTCGAACAATGTTGAAAATGCTTGACATTTATTTTGTTTGCAATGGACAAATTTTTAAAATGGAGGTTTTTGGTGGATACTCTTTGGTGCCTTTTCTGTCAAAACCCTAAACTTGGGAAAATATTTTAATTGAATTTAAACAAAAAAAAATATTTACTAAGTTTTTGGAAGATAAACTTTCAAAGATTTTTCCAGCCCATTTGACGAAGGAAAACAACATGTTTCTGACAAATTAAAAATTTGAAATAGAAATTAATCCTTTCTTTACCGCAGCAAACTTATATCTGCAAAGACTGTGACGAAAGTTTTACAGACCAGGTAGGACGAAGTAACAAGAACTGAGGCCGAATTTAAAGAATTTGAGCCGCGCTTAAATCTAAGCCGCAGCTCAAATATGGTTGGTTCCACTTAAAATCGTATTCAATGTTTCAAGGTTTAAGCCGGCGCTCAATTGAAACCGGTTTTTGGGGGATTTAATACGCAGCTCAAATTCATTAAATTCGGACTCTGTTATTATTATTTTATAGTTTTTATCGACACATAATTAGTAAATATGTATTGTTAATTGTATTGTATATTTAAGCACAAGTACAGTGACCACAGGCACAACAGCGAATACTCAGGAAATTGTTCAGTATCGTCGGAGAGGACGATTAGGGTCGGGGGTCTAGACTTTTCCAGGCAACCAAGGTGAATAGTGTATTTTGCTGGGGAGTGTTTTGCATTTTTAATAGAAACAAAATAAAAGAACTATATGATGAATTTGAGATAAACCTTGACTCCATTAATAATTTAATTAATTTTGTCAAGTCCTTGAAACTAATATTTCGGATGTTTAAGAGCTAATTAAAGTTTTGAATAGGGGATCCAGAGGAAACTCAGCAGTCTTCACCTCTATGGGAGCTAGAGGTTCAAGGCAAGATGATTTAGAACCATCTGAACCCAACAGACTGCCCTCACCTTCGGAGGCTAGTAGATTCAGTAGATATGCAGAACCTAGGGGATATGGTAGATCATCAGATGCTGTAGAAACCACAGGAAATAATAGATCATCAATATCTGCGGAACCTAGAGGAAATTTTGGATCATCAATTACTGTAGAGCAAAAGGGAGATAGTAGTAGATCAACATCTGTTGAAGAAAGCGGAAGTAGAAGATCATCAATTTGTGTAGAACCTAGGCAAAAAAGTAGGTTATCAACTACCAGGGAACGAAGAGGCTCGCCTGCTTCTAGTGAAAGGTTTATAAGACCGTCAAATACAGAGATTGTTGACATGGAGGTAGATTCTCCAGAGTGTATATCTTTATCACCTGAATATTCTCCAGTATCCACTGAATGTACTCCAGTATCCCCTGAATATACTCCAGTATCCACTGAATGTACTCCAGTATCCCCTGAATATTCTCCAGTATCGCCTGAATATACTCCAGTATCCCTTGAATATTCTCCAGTATCGCCTGAATATACTCCAGTATCCCTAGAATGTTCTCCAGTATTACCCGTCTCTGCTCATTCTGTCTCCGTTATGGCCAGTCCTATAAAGCCTGCCTCTGGAACCAAGGTTGGGATTGTAAAACTTCGTCCTCTTGTTGATCTTCTGGAAAGTCCCAATCAAAACTCCAATCCTCAGCAACCAGTACTAGAACAGGAAAAAGGTTGGTAGAAAAATATATGATGAAATTATTGTTTCAAAATCTATTTAAATATTGGGAGTTATTTTTTTTATAAGAGATAAAAACCATATAATTTGTTTTCGATTGTTAATGTTGAGTGAACTTGTAAATTGAGAGCTCAATATTTTATGAAATTATGAGAAGGGCATTAAGAAACAGATAATAAAATTTGTATTACAATTTTTTTAGTTTGGGATGTTCTACAGTGCCTTAAACTAAATGAAAATCAGGTATTTCTCAAATTTCATGTACAGAGAATGCATTTTGATTTGTAATGAGAAAGGTGTGCCTCCCAAATATTGTTAAAATAATTATTTTATTTTATAGAAGTAATAACATATTTTTAGTTTCTATTTTTAGAAAAATGGTAAGGAATTTTGTTACAGTTAACTGGAATTAACTTTGTAATTAATGAAAAAAACAAAAATGAATTTATCATCATTAATGATAAATCTATTTCAAATTCTCAATAAAAAGATATTTAAGAAAAGAAACTATAAGTAGCTTTATCTTCAAATTCTAATATTAAAGAACAATGTGTGTTTTGCAGTTTCTCAGTTATTGTTTCAATTTATATCCTTCCCTTACCTTACTTGTTAGGCATATGACGATATAGCTGAGGCGGAAGAGAACACATATGCAGCTGGTTCTTCTCAGAACTCATCCGTTAGGAACAGCATTCAATATAATAAAAAAATTTACATTAATTTGCAAGGTTTTTTTCATTGCATTTCCCCTTTTCAGCGAAAAATTAATTGGTGTTCATTTTTTCATTTTTAACGAAAAGTTTCAAGATTATTAGTGAAATCGCCTTTTCTACTTTAAATTGAAATTCTTAGGAATTATGGGTCTTTTTAAATTAAGTGAACAAAACCTTCATGTAAGTCTGTACTTTTAACCCTATTCCTGCTGGGGGGGGGGGGTCAATTTGACCCCCCCCCCTGTAATTTTTTTTACATAACTCAAAAAGTATTGGTCTGAGGCTGTTGAAATTTTCTGACTTTTCTTACATACCCAAAGCCCTCCCTTTAGGCCTATAACCGGGCTTTAATACTAACTGCCTGAGTCCTCAGGCACACTGCCTGAATGACTGCTTTTGCCTGTAGCAAACTAAATCTTTGTTTTGACCCACTTTCACTTGTCAGATTTTGATAAAATTTAGCTTTTTGGAAAGCCTATGACATAAGGAAACGGATTGCACAAGTTTTGCGAAAAAATGGCAAATTTTTTGCAAACAACCTGTCAAAGGAAATTTGCACATTTTTAGTTTTCCTTGATTTAAAATCAGGTTATTTAAAATTTTGCAAAAATTTTTGATATTTGAAATGGCATGGTCAAGGGCTTTTCAAAAATGTATAATTTGTCATTTTTTGGACAAATTTTTTTTGCAAACATTTTTACTATAAAACTGGATTTTGCGATAAAAAATTCAATTTTCGCAAATTTGCAAATTTTTTTGCAGATTCTAAAAGTAGAGCACAAGAGCTTTCTAATGATGTATCATATGTCATATTTGGACATAAAACATGGGATTTAGAGGGGGGGGGGGGTCAATTGACCCCCCCCCCAGCGTATCCTGGTTTTCAAGTACCCCAGCAGGGATAGGGTTAAGGACAATTATTATCCCAAAATTATCTCGTTTGTCAAAATATTTTTTAAAGTATGAAAATAACAGGTTTAAGTGTTTTTAATTTTATGCTGTTTATTTAGTTTGGAAAATCGTTTGGAATTAATGGGAGAAAGTCTGCTTTCTTATTTAGCTAAAGATATTGCTCCACATGATCCTGTTTTGACGAGAACAGAGTCTCAAATTGTAAGTCCTGCTAAATCTTATGATAAAATTAGTTCTTTAAGTACAGTTGGTCCGGTAACAGTGAGCCAGGCTCCTCAAATAAACTCGGCTAATCCCAGTTCTTCCTCCGGATCATCAACAGCGTCTAGGTCATCTAACGAAGGTGGCTTTTTATTAACTTTGCCTTCGAGTCTTACGTTTACTCCACCTAAACCTGCTCAACCTGCGCTAATGCCGCTGAAGAAGAAGACCTTCTCCGATTCATTCCCGAATTATGTTCCCGCAGAGCAGGAGAAGAACAAGGAGAAAGAGAAATCTTCTACCAACAAGGAAACCGAACCTGCAGAACAAGATGAATTGGGTAATAAAGCATTTAGTAACAAACAATTTTTTTTTGAAGGCATTATTTCTAGCATTTCCCTGGATTGAATATTAGAAATTAAGTTTGGAAATGATAAAAACAAAGAACTGTATTTGGAATTATTTCTTTTACATGAATTCTTTTAACATGTTTTGATTGTATATTTCATATTTTTAGAGTTGTATCTGGATAAGAAGAGGAAGGGATTCCAGGCTATTGACAAAATCAAGAGCTCTGTAGACCCTCAAACATTAAACAGGATTGGACAGCTAGACGCGGAGAAGAGAAAGGATTTGAATGTGATCAAGGGTGGGGAGGAGATTAAAAAAACTACATTAAAACCACTGCATGGTTCATCCAAAAATCCATTGATTTCTCCCAAAACTCATTCTGTCCCCTCCAAAACTCCTGTAGCCCCTTCTAAAACTAATGCTATCCCCTGCCAGACTCCTGCCGTCACATCCAAAACTGTCACAGACCCAGTCGCCTCAAAAACTGTTCCAGTACACTCAAAAACTGTTCCAGTTAACTCAAAAACTGTCCCAGTTCCCTCTAAAACGGTTCTAGTCCCCTCTAAAGCTGTTTCAGTCCACTCCAAAACTGATGCAGTAACCTCTAAAACTCCTGCCGCCCCCTCTAGAACTTCTACCGTCCTTTCTCTAACTCCTGCCGGCCCCTCTAGAACTGCTCAAATCCCTTCTCTAACTCCTGCCGGCCCCTCGAGAACTGCTCAAATTCCTTCTCTAACTCCTGCCGGCCCCTCTATAACTGCTCAAATCCCTTCTCTAACTCCTGCAGTTCGTCCGAGTATGTCTGCTTTTAGTGAGGAGCAGAGGAAGAGGATTCAGGAGAATGTGAGATTAAAGAAAGCAGAGAAAGAGGCCAAGTTCAAAGCTAAGGAAGAGAAAGCTAAGAAGGAGAAAGAAAAAGAAAGACTGAAGCGAAAATATCAAGAAGAACTTAAAGCTAGGGAAATTGAAATGCTTAAACAGGCGGAAGAAAAAAAGGAAACTGAAAGGAAAATGGAAAAAGAAAAGAAGGAGAAAGAGAAAAGCAGGGAAAAGCAAGAATTAAAACATGACTCAAGGAAAAATTTGAAAAAAGAAAGACAAGTGGAAAAAAGTCTGAAAAACACAAAGAATCTTGACAGGAGAAGGGACAAAGATTCAGAAAATGAAAAACTAAGAAGCATAGCTAAAAAAGTAAACGAACAAAATTTACAAACGCCAGGAGAACTGGATAAAGGAAATGGGCTCAATGATGAAAAGAGTTTAATTAAAAAATCCCATGCAGAAATCTTAAGAGATTTACGTAAAGAGAAAACCAAAATTGAAGAAGAATCAAAGAGATTGCTGACTAACAAATCGGAGACCTCTGTGGACGATTTACCAATTGAAATTAAAAGCAAGAACTTGAAACCTACGGAGTTAAAACATACTAAAGTGTCTTCTCTCGAACCTGAGAAAGAGACTCCCATGGATGTTCTACCTCCTGAAACTGCTCATAAAAACTCGGAAAATATTCAGAAAACATCATGTAATGAAATGGAAGAAAATTCAAGCAATCACAAGACCCTGAATTCTACACAAGACAATTCTGCCTGTGAATCTAGCCTTAATGTTCAGCACAATCCTAAATCTTTTAAGGGTCTTCTAGAACAGGAAACAAGTACTTTTCTGGAATCAAGTAAGCTACCTAATCAAGAAGCTAGTACTAAACCTGTACTAGAACACAGCAAAAACCCTAACCTCGATACTAGAACTAAACCTATTCCGGAACCTAGTAAGAAACAAAGTAGTGATCAATCTTTTCCTGAGCCTATTAGGAAGCCAGAACTTGGAACTATTGCTAAACCAGAACCCATTAAAAACCCTAACCTCGATACTAGAACTAAACCTAATCCGGAACCTAGTAAGAAACAAAGTAGTGATCAATCTTTACCTGAACCTATTAGGAAGCCAGAACTTGGAACTATTGCTAAACCTGTACTAGAACCCAGCAAAAACCCTAACCTCGATACTAGAACTAAACCTAATCCGGAACCTAGTAAGAAACAAAGTAGTGATCAATCTTTACCTGAACCTATTAGGAAGCCAGAACTTGGAACTATTGCTAAACCTGTACTAGAACCCAGCAAAAACCCTAACCTCGATACTAGAACTAAACCTAATCTGGAACCTAGTAAAAAACAAAGTAGTGATCAATCTTTTTCTGAGCCTATTAGGAAGCCAGAACTACTATGTAATGCTAAATCTGCTCCGGAAGCTAGTAAGAAGCCTGGACGTAAAACTAGTACTAAGCCTGTACCGGAGCCTACTAAAGTACCTGAACCTTTACAGAAACCTGTATCTGCAAATAAACTGCAGCCTGTACCTGTCACCAAACAGACTGGGGATATGGTTGACTCTGTTCCTAATTATAAACGTAAGCAACTAGAAAGCACGGAAAGGGGATCAAAACTTCAAAAACGTCAATCCTCTAAGGTCGAACTGTCTGATCTGGACCGGTTAAGGAATATACTGTATCGAGAAAGCTCCGATTCCGATGATTCCGATTCCGACACCGTGAAACAAATATTAGTATCAAGAAAGAATTACTCATCTACAGATAAGACTCATTCGAGTAGTCATGAAGCACACATAGATAAGAAACCCCGTATATCCTCAGAACCTTTAAACAGTTCTTGTCAGTCACTTGATAAAAAATCAGTCAAACTCGATGCAAGTAAATCTAATGTGGATGATTCTACTGTGGGAGATGTTTATCCTATACATGAGAATATCCAGGTAGACGATGAATCTCCAGATCCTGAACCTTTACCTATCGAGATATTATCCGTGAGATCGTTATACAAAGATCCTGAGAGACTGAGCAAGTTCATGGAAACTCTTCCGAACCCTGCGTACACGATATATCATCCTAAACCTGGAGAGATCATTGAACTAAACGATGACGGATCTTCTGGAGATGAAATGTATGATTTAGGAGACAATATTCCTTACAGGTATATTTTGGAATCCAAAGTTATTTAAGAAAAAAATTGTAGTCTTGTAGACCAAAACGTTGGACAAAATATAATTTTTTTTCTGTGGAAGGTTATTGATTGTATTCGCATTGTTTTTTATGACCTATTTTTTTCTTCTTTATTAACCGGAATATGAATTATCCTGGAAAACTGATGGTTTCCAAATTCCACTATTCTATTACCCACGAATTTTAATTTGCAGACTACAGTATACCCGGGCAGTAGAAGTCTCACGAGTTGAGAAACTGAGACATGAAACCTCATTTATTCATCTAGTGGAAGGTAAATTGGAATTGTAGGTGTTAGTTTGAAACCCCGATTTCTTTTGATGATGGGTTTTAGTATTGGCCTGTAAGGCAACAACAAATAAACTGCCCTACCTATGTAATTATAAGTTTACCAGCTAAAATACAATAAAACTTCAGGTGCTGAATACTGAGATACCTATTCAGGGGGGGGGGGGCTATTGGGGCTAAGCCCCCCTAGCTGAAATCTATTGATTTCAGGGGGTTTTCAATTCATGCCCCAACTGATGCTGAGCCCCCTGGAAAGAAAAAAAATTAAGCACCTGGACAAATTCCTGAATACGCCCCTGGCTGAATACTTCTTTTCTTATATAGATATTATATATTACCCTATTAGGACTCATCAGTACGGCTCAATTCATCAAGGTTTGATGGAGCAGTGTTAGCGTGGTTGATTCGTAATCCAAGGATTCACGGTTCAAGCCCCGCCAACTGCAAATAAATGATGAATTGAGCCATACTGAAGAGTCCTAAGAGGGAGGGAACCCCGGACGCCATGAGCCTTCCAGATTTGTTAGGCAGACTGAGCCTCCACTATGCAGACCAAGCCTCCGCTATACTGTGAACGAGCCTCCACCATACAGAACAGCTTTTTTTAAATCTTGGTTTTTATGTGTAATGAAAAATGTTAACAATTTTTTGTTTGACATAGTGGCATGAGAGGTTTCTCAAAGATGAATATTATTTTTACCAAATATTATTAATAGTTCCTAATTATGGCTATGTAGTTCAAATTAAATCTAGAAAATTTGTATCATTTATTTAAATCTTAACATTTTTCAAAAAAAGGTATTGTTTAAATCAAAGATTACATTAAAACAAACTAAATTTACTCCAGAAGTATTTCTCATATCTTCGTTTCTGCGTAAGAATGTTTTAGTATAAATCTTACAAACCACTTTACGAGTCCATATATGTTTTCAATCATGACAACCAATAAATAAATCTAATTTTTAGTAAAATTCCTATGCCACTACATCAAAAAAATTGTTAGCATTTTTCTTTACACATAAAAACCAAAATTTAAAAAAGCTGTTCTGTATGGTGGAGGCTCGTTCACTGCATAGCGAAGGCACGGTCTGCATAGCGTAGGCTTGGTCTGCATAGTGGAGGCTCGCTCTGCCTAGCAAATTTAGGAGGCTCGTGTCTGCATAGCAGAGGCTCATGGCGTCCGGGGGTTCCCTCCCTCGTCTTAATAGGACGGTAATATATATATTATCTTATCTTATGCGAAGAGCTGTGGTATATAGAAATACATTTGTAATAAAAAAGCGAGTTTTATCTGCTTCAAATTCTTGTATCAAATTTCAATCAAATTATGTGTCCACTAGGGGAAGACGACATTACAAAATGTCTGCACTGTCCGCGGTTCCTTAACGATTCTGAAAGCACGTTCAGGATTAATGTAGTGGACAACTCGGCTGTTGTGTACTGCTGCTGTGGTAAAAATTACAAGTAAGTCTTTTTAGATTATTTCTTAAATAGGTGTACAACAAGAACTTCTAATACTTGAGCAATAATTTATGGGTTTAGATTTAAGGGGGGGGGGGTTAAAATATTTGGAAAATTATAATTTTTTTGGAAAAGTATAAAATAAAATTTAAAAAGTTGCTTTTTTATTTATAATTTTTTTCTTCCCCAAAATAATCAAAAATCATTCTTCCCCCTATCCCCGCCCCTAGGGGGGTTGTATTTTGAAAATATACACCCCTCTCAGTTTTCTTCTTAAATAGCCTTTCTTTCAAAATCCCCATAAATCCCCTTATTTCTTGAATATGTGGGTCGAGTTTAGTGAATGAATTCAAAAAATTTACAATCAACTAGATTACTCGTAATATGATTTATTATGTGTAAAGGATTTACAACCTGATAAAACTACCTGGAAGATACCAGGGATATCAAGCACATTCCTTCACTCGGTCTGGATCTGCTCACAGCTTCCATACAAAAAATCAATCCTCTACTTCTTCCACTGGCTCTGCCTAATCTCAGCATCAATTAGATTGCGTCGTTAAACTGTACGCTCGTGGCTCAAACTGATCCAAATTCATGTAATTTAAGAGAAAAGGCAATATTTGTCTGCATAGTACCTGAATATTCTACAAGAAAAGCGAATATATAGAGAAGGGGTAATAATGCTTCACAAAAAATTCTTTATGTGTATGTATTGTATATCTACGGTTGATAAAAAAAAAGTTTAAAATTTGAATATATTTCATAAGAAATGGCGTTGGATCTGCAGTTCGTTTCCGAAGGATTCATCAAGTTTCTAAAGGTAGATTTTAAATTGCCTTTTAATTTTTGCTTTTAATGTTTTTTAAAGAATCATATTTTAGTTCCTATTAACACAGTGAGTCCATATGAAAGGGACTGCGGGAGTAATTTCATCTGATCTCTATTTATAAAATTAGGACACTTGATTAATATTTCTACCCTTAAAACTTATGTCTGTTCAAGGATTAAGATATCCATATTTTTCTAGCTTGAAGTTGTTTGTCTTTAGTAGGGATTTATCCTTAAAAGTTACTTGCGGATATATGCTGCAACGACCAAGTAAATTGTCAGCATGGGCATTTCCATTTTTTTCCGATCATTATATGGAGCCGTAATGAATTCCAGGACAAAATCATGTGCTACGTTTTTCGAAGTATCTTACCAAAATTCTCATTCTTAGCTGAAGTAGATTATAAATTTTGCAAGTGATCCTTCATGAAAAAAAATCAAAAACAACTACAAAAGAACACAACAACAGATATTATAAAACAAAAAATACTAATGTTGTTCTCAAGACTTTAAAATTCTAATGTTGAACTGTTATTTACACTCTTGAACTGTTGTTTTTATTAAACTAATTATATATTCTAGAACTCCAACCAGCCAATGGAGAAACTGACTCAGAGAAACCTAGAGAACCTTTATAACCTTATCTTCAAGGTAACTGAACAGTGTAATTTATTACTTATCCTTGTCTGTGGAGAAAATTAAGTTTATATTTGCCCCCTCTGGGCAGCCATAGGCTCCAACTTATCGGTAGGTTCCAATCAACGGAATCATCTAGAAGTTTTAATTATGTTTTTGTTAGTTTTATTCACATTTTTTTCTAAATGCGTGTTTAATTATATATAAATGAAAAAATAATTGTATAAGTTGTCCCCTCCTATTTGTTTGATTGATATATATATATATATATATATATAGATGGAGTTTGAGAGAAATCAAAATACAAATCTTGGAGAGTTAAAGTTTCCAGAGCTTTCCAGGTACCACTTAAGTCCACCCTGTGACCGGCCAAACCTTGAATTGTTTTTAAAACTTATAAGGTTTTTGAATTGTACAATGTACATGTTTCCTAAAGAGAATTTGTAATTGTTGATACTAAACATTTGCTTTTCATTTAATTAATGAGAGAAGTCGTACCAAAATGGTAGTATTTAGGTTTTACTCCATCCATCCTAGAGCTATTTCCGGGTTCACTTCCAGAACTAAAAATGCCTTGTCAGCGTGTGTAGTAAAATTAGTTGAACTCAGAATTTTTTTGGTTAATGAATAAAGAAAACATAATTTTCTTAAAATAATTCTAATTCTTCGACTGATTCTAATTTTTACAACCGCCATTTTTCTTTTTACACAATACAAACTGTAATTGATTGATTGATGGAACTGTTAGATTTTTCTGTTTTTGATCCGGGATATCCAAACAAAATTAAGTTCCAAAATATTTAGAGGCAAAAAGGCAAAAAAGTTAATTCTGACCGCCAAAAATCTTCCCTGGAGTCATGTGAGTTGCCACAAAAACATTGGGCCTGATCGATTCTCTTGTTTATCATGTTAAGACAAAGATATTGAGTTTTTGACACAAACTCGAATTTTAGAATTCCTATATCGTTTCAACCTCATGGTGTAAACCTATGATAATTCAAACTTCGATGATTTGATTCAACAGTATTTATAGTTTTAAATATCGGGTTGCATAGATATACATAGATTAGAAAATCAGAGTTTGTGACAAGGATTAAAGTTTTGTTTTGCATCTATTTCTTGTTAAAATGTTTAGGCATATGGAGGAGAATGGTATGCTGAAGTTTAACGGCGAAACCGCGGTGTTTAGCCTATAGTAGTCGGAGAAGTTCTTCCTTTTAAATCATTAGTTACACATATTTTTACAACATATTTGCTTAAAACTGAACTACTTTATCTTATAAGAAACTCCTGTGATTATAAAGAACACATTTCATGCATTTATACAACAGAAATTTAATTTCTCGAATTTTAGAAATTTAAATGATTTTATACTTCCAGAGTTTGATGATTGATCTAGATGAAATGTCTAAATTTGATTCTTTTAGCTGACGAGAGCTATATTATTCAGCATGAAAGAAACTGACTTTGCAATCTTCTTAGCAAGGAGTCCAATGGTTCTAGAAATTTTATATGTGTATCCATTAAGAAATGACAATCAAAATTTTTAAGTTTTTGCATTTAAAAGATGTAGTTTGGTGTTTTTTGGGCTAAATTAAATGTCGAGTGCTAAATAAGAGTTTGTTTATTATGTATATTGGACATTGGACTAAGCTTTTATTGTTTTATTAATATTTTACTAAGATTTAAAATTCCTTCAAAGGAATTCAGTCTTTCCTACAATCTCAAATATTGGAATCCATATGTATTTGCTACCGGCTAGGATGAAGCTTTGATATTTCAAATTAGATTATGGAATCCGAAAGAGATAATAGTTTGAAATAGCTAAGGTCTACGACAATGGGTACCAAAGATTTGTGGCAAAGACTCAATTCCTTTAGAAAAAAATCGATATTAAAGTATATTTTAGTGATTAAGAGTTTATGTGCCTTGTCAGACTTTATTTTTAATCAATTTTGATTTTATAATATTTTTGACAATTAATAATTAACCTTTATATTTATAATATCTGTGACAATTAAAAATTAACGTTTATATTTGTTAACTGTTCTAACCAGGAATAAACTACACAGAATAGCATTGGTTAGGATCCGGATCCGTTGGATCCGTAAGATTTTGGCTTCCTGGATCCGGATACACGGATCCGGATTCAATGGGCATACCATCAAGCAAAAACTGAAAAAATAACTCTTAAACACCAAATCTAAACTATTTAAAAAAGAGAATTTATTAAAATTTCCGGATTTCTGAATGTTTCATCAAGTCATGAAAAAGCGAAAAATATAAGACAAAAAACTGTGCTTTGTTAAAAAAATTCAGTAAAGGGGATGGTGGAGTTGGCACATTTGATGTAGGGGGGGGGGGCCCTGCCTTCATTTTTGGTTCAAATCTTGCAATTTTTTGGGTGCACGCCTAATTAGTGATCGAAATTCCTAAAATAAAATCAAATTGAATTTTAATGACCTCTAATGACCTCTAATGACCTCTAATGACCTCCAGAAATAGAAAATATTTCAACTATGGCTTTATGCACATCAAATAAAAGCTAGGAACCCCAGGAATGCAGTAGCAGCAACAAATCCAGTGTTTGACCTTCTAATGACCTC